ACTAACTACAATAAATAATGGATCTAAAATAGTTTATGAAATGTAATGCAAAGCTGTGGTATCAAAAGAGGTTTCCTACAGTGGCCTGCATATAGGATCCAGTCTTAAATCCAAACACCCAGAGATTTTTAAAAATTATTATTAAGCAATTTTAAATTAAAGGAGTCAAACTTTAACAGTGAAACTTGCCAAACATTTTCAGAAGAATATGCAGTAGAATTTTGCTTTGAGATAGGAAGGTTTCTCTTTGCTGAGGAACAAAAGTGATAGGCTGCATTTCTAGCATACAAAGGTTGGTATCATTGATTTATTAGCTAACCTTACTTTCCAAATAGTAAACGTGTCAATTTTAGGGAAAAAAACCAACAACCCTGAAGTGTACTTTAAATTAAAATAGATGATCAAAAGGTAGAGTCACTTCCTAGTTCACTGCAGTGGCCTAAGTCAGCAGCACCACCAGAGAGAAACATTAAATGCAAAATATCAGACTTTACCTTTTAAGTATTCTTCAAAGGAAACAGCTGTAGTAGGAGCGAAGGGGAGCAGGGAACAACTTACTCTTACTGCTTAAAATACCAACTCTCTTTACCTCCGAATCTCACTGCTGTTATAGATATTCAGGACAACTATGTACTGAGGGGTGGGCATGCCATAAAAATAAAAGTAGCTGAGAATATCTCAGGTGCTTGTAAATGAAAGGAATAAGCAAGTGCTTACCTATTTGGCACAAGGCATGAAAATTGCTACGTACAAATAATTATAAAGGCAAAATTCACCCTTATGTAGAAATCAATCACAAGGCCTTTGCACCACTTAAATCTTCAACATAGGGCTAAAGTGGCACTTTAAGGAGAGATCTTTCACTATACAGTAAATGTCTTCCACTCCCTATACAACAACAAAAAACACTGCATGCCGAAACAACACTGCGTATTATTTATAGAAATCAAATGAAGTTCCATAACAGAAACATGAAGTGATGAAAACTCAATTGAAGACTATACAAATTATATTGGCACTTTCATATTGCAGTGCACTATGCCTGCAAGTATTTTCTACTGCACTGCAAAGAAAATTGTGGTGTGATTCAACATTGGCTTGCTCCAATATTACCCCATCACAACAACAGCGTGACCCAAGCATAAAACTGAAGTAACGCAGTGGCGTATCATTCCCCAATTTCCACAAAAATTGCATTTGTATCTTTTAAACAGATAAACAACAACATATCCAAAACAAAACCTGAAGCTTGAGAATGTTTATTTGTACTTAGCACATATAAATATCAAAACAAATATTAATGATAGCATTTGTAAACAAATATACTTCATGAAGTTATGTACTATCAAATTCGCTCTGAAAAAAAATGCAGGCTTATCCCTATTTACAAACGGATGTTTATTAAAATCAAGTTAAAAAAACTACTGTTTAAGATATTTTAAAAGGAAAGATATTACTTATTTCTGCAAACTTCAAAAGATCAGTTATAAGGCCAAATTAAGAAAATACAAATAAAGATGGCACTATACTTTTCTAAGTAAAATATAGGCAAGTGATCAAAATACCAGTCATGCCTATGGAAGGGCCTGTGTTTCTAAAGTGTATATCCAACTTCGCAGAAGTCTAACATCTTTTTAATTACTCAGGACCCTCATCCAGTCTTTCCTCAATAATTACATTGATTACAAGGTACCACTTAAACTTGGAGAAAAGTTTTCACATGGTAGTTTTATGCATCCCTATGGTTTACAGTCATAATTTAAGTAAAAAAAAAAAATCAGACAAAAGACAGCAGCACCCATTATTAAGGCATTATTTTTTTTAACATTCCTGTGTTTATAGCAGCAAATACTGCCATTAGGTATAATATGCAATTTCTCATTGGTTTAATCAATAAATCTATTAAGTTTAAAATTATAGTGTTTTCCCTAGAGTTGTGTTTAAAGTTATAGAAACCCTTGTAATTTTATTCTGTGAAGACAACCTTTGATTATGACAACAGGATCCCTTTACCACTGGCCATTTAAGTAATTTTTAATTACAAAAGTGAGTTTTGACTCTGTTTTTCATTTATTTCACATCTCCTGTTCTTCTAGTTAAGAAAGTAAATTTCTGGTCCTTCATTTTTAAATTGTGTTCATAAATGAAACAAGCTGAGAAAATAATTGGATGTGGTGTGTAATATTTTAAAGAAACATGCTCAGACTCTCACACAAATATGATAAATTTAACAACTTACAAAATTTCAGAACTTGAGCCACAGTGAACTCTGACCAGTTTTCATGAAACTTATCAGATTTTTACAAAAATGTTGAAAATACTTCTTTTAAAAGATTGTCTAGGAACACTAACTAAACAAGACGGTTCTACAGAATAAGATACACTCTTTTTTACACCATATACTTTTAACACAATGCACAGACAGACAATGCTTATGGAATGTAATGATCATCTAAGATGAGAGGTGAAATTAGGATGACTCAGTTTCTCAAAGTGTTGTCATGAGTTTATCTTGGTACATCATACTTTGGATTCCTCCTACATTCTTCTGGTTCTGATCCTGGATATACTGTATATTGCGGTCGTCTCCACTTGTGGTAGGTTTCCACTGTGGCCTGTCATCATGGTAGGGTGGCCTGTACCATTTGCACAGTTATTGGTTAGTGAGAGGTGGAAGTAAACGTGACAATTATGAATGATACACATTAATATGAGTTTATCAGATAAGCTCTAAAATGCACATGAAAAATGATGGAGAGTGGATGCCATGAAAGGGAATTGTGGACAGAAGCATTGGCTTGATGTAAAGTCCACTGAAACCACTGGGAGTCTTTTCATTGACTTCAATGCACTTTGGATCAGATCACGTGCACAGCACTTTTAGAATCTTTTCCTTCAAAAGTGAACAATAAAGCTAATCATGCTTGCAAGCCACTGAATTTTCAGGGAAGAAAATTAACTGCCACACATCTAAGTGGCATTGGCAAATGAGCAATAAATGCAGAATCATGCAAAAAGTTGAGCTAACAGTAATATTAGGTCTCAAAGGCTTACAAATTAAAACACAATTAGCATCAATGATGCAATAAATCATCCACCCATAAATGTAGCCATTCACTCAACTCTGGTAGGATTAGTTACACATCCACCTTGTTAAACCCAACCAAATGTCTAGTACCTGCTACTACAGTACATGCTTGTGTATGAATTCACCCTATAGAACGACTAGGAAAAAAGTAAGTTTTCCCTGGCATGCTAGTATGGATATATTACCACCATCACTGAACTCTCCCAAGGTTTTTGAAAGCACTATGCACCAAATCACCATAGTTTTTAAAATTTGTTGTTTAAAGCAACACAATAAAAAGTGAATAAAAATGACTGACTAATGCAAGACAGCTGTGGGAATTATATGAAACCAGGGCTTGATCCTGCCAGGAGCTGAGCACGCCGGTACAAATCTACTTGACCTCTTAAACACATGCTCTAACTTTTATCCCATGAATAGTCAACTTCACTGAGACTATTCACTCCTATTGATTCTAGTTAAACCACGTGTTTAAATGCTTTCCTGGATTGGGGCCAGACAGCTCAACACTTTTTAGAGCTGAACTGACAGAGAAGCCCGTAGGATTGGTCTATGATGTATCTCTTGTGGACTTAGAGACATAACTTTGCAAAAAGCCATTTCTCATATTTTCCTGCAGTTCTTTGCAACGACTTTAATATTCACTAAAAAAACTTAACACGCTGCTCTGCTCATCTCAACATTATTGTGCTCCGAGGAAAGTTTTAGACTTTAAAAATATTGGAATTAACTAGACCGATCTCGTAAAAGGTTACAAAATTTCTGTAGAGACAGCCATTCCCTAGTGACAGGAAACTGGAGATTTTAGAACTCATTCAGTGTTGAAAACAAGAAGAGAGATTTTGAATAGTAGTTTTAGGTCCGATTCATAATGTATTTTAAAGTCTTTTCCATGGCTGTAGTTTTGTTTTTATTTTATTACCAGGCTTAAGGAATTTTGAGCTAGAGATAAATAATCTCTACATCCACCTGAGAAATACTGTCTCTCTCATCACCATGCCCTTTTCTTGTTTCTTCAGTCTCATGATTTCAGACCAGACTATCCCTTTCTTCCACCTTGCACCTACCCTCTCTGCTAGAGCTCGCTTTCTCTTAGCATTTCATTCCACATGCCCCGAGAAGAAATTATCTTATATAAGAATATTAAGATGAAGAGGCAGAAAAAGCAGATAGATAAGAAAAGCAATATTATGTAGTCTAAGTGTGGCAAGTTGTATATTTCTGAATCTTAGACAGTGTCTGGCAATAAAATAATACAATCAAGAGTTACATTGTTACAATAGCCTGCAGAAAACAAAGCTATATTATAGACACAAAAAACCATACTGATTCAGTTTAGACTGAGTTTATTCCAATCTTATTCTCACTTAATTCCTGTCTGATAGCACTAAAATTAGTCGTCATGTAGCAAGAGCAGCCCTACTCATAGCTATGCAGATACTGAATTGTCATATGGTAGTTTTTAAATGTTCTTTTTCTGTGATTTAAAAAAATCTATCTATTAATACAATATTCAATAGGAAAGCATTATACTTTTCCATTTAAGTTTCTGGAGTGTAAGAAAAAAGTTGCTGCATATTACGAGTCCGTACATTGATGATTTAAGCCCACCCTAAAAAGACATGCTCCATTGTCTTCTGAGATTAAATGCTAATCAAAGTAAAATTCATTTTGCTAAAATTCTAAGAATCTCACTGCTGGACACCCAACCGATAGAAATTAGGAAAATGTGATCCTGAAATTGTTTTGAACAATAAATTTAAAATAAATGAAAGTAAACTATGTCAAAGCAATAAACTGAAGCGATTAACATACATCACCTCATTGCCTCACCCCAGTTCTGATCCAACAGATTGTTTAAAATAAAGGAGGAGGGAAAAAAGATCCCTCCCATACAATGAAGAGAGCTTACCTTACATTCACAGGAGTATGAGGGTGCCAGTGTGGCTGACCAGGATGCATATTAGGGTGATACAGCTGCTGGAAGTAAAACATTAGCTTTGATTATATAATTGTATCATTACTTAATCTGATTCCATTTGGTTAATTTTCTATGGAGCTCTTTTCTAAAGTGAAGAGTTGTCCTCAGATACATCATTGGCATTGTTACAATAGCCTGCATTGTTAATACAATTTTATACTTCCACTACCAGTTGGGTATGATTCCAGCTGTAGTGGCATGGGCACTGGCACAGGCTAGCAATCCAGAGTAAGTAGTCACAGGGTTCTGGCTGGTTTCTACTCAACATAGCTTGCCCATCTCTCCATTCATGTTACCTAGGCTACATAACTATTTTTAGCGTACTGGTTAATGACTATATGTCTACACAAGCTGGGACTCACATATCCCAGTTTTAAATAGTCCAACGGACATTGTTACATGAAGAACAGTGCTGTACAGTGTAGTCTGTCAATGTTTGATGATAGCAGTCAACCAGGGATATCAGCACCACATAGGGATTTGAAAGGCAAGATTCAGCCTCTCTTCTGTATTGCTCAACACGTGCAGGGGGACTTCTGATGAAGCACTAGCATGAGCTTGGTTACAGCTGAATGAAAGTGAGATATTTTTGCCTCTCATGTTGGAAAGCTATTGCAACCAAAGCTGTTGCTCTTTTGCATAAATTTGGCACATCCATTGTTTGTTCAGGCAATGGGCAAAATGCCATTTTCACTCAAGAGAGCGGAAGGGGGAAAAGGTCCAGAAGGATAACACCAAGCTGATGACTCTCCCTAAGCCCATCAAGTCCTGCTGATACAATGACAGAGGAATGAAATCACTACCGAGGTTTTAAACTTTTTTATTGAAAAATACAGTAAACTTCCGATAATCCGGCACCTTTAGGACCCAGGGGGTGCCGGATTATCAGATATGCTGGACTATCAGAAGGGGGGGCTATGAGGGGTCTGGAGTGGGGTGGGAGGGGTGCCACCCCAGACCCCTCATAGCCCCCCCTTCTGATAGTCCAGCATATCTGATAATCCGGCACCCCCTGGGTCCTAAAGGTGCCGGATTATCGGAAGTTTACTGTATTTTTCAATAAAAAAGTTTAAAACCTCGGTAGTGATTTCATTCCTCTGTCATTGTATCAGCAGGACTTGATGGGCTTAGGGAGAGTCATCAGCTTGGTGTTATCCTTCTGGACCTTTTCCCCCTTCCGCTCTCTTGAGTGAAAATGGCATTTTGCCCATTGCCTGAACAAACAATGGATGTGCCAAATTTATGCAAAAGAGCAACAGCTTTGGTTGCAATAGCTTTCCAACATGAGAGGCAAAAATATCTCACTTTCATTCAGCTGTAACCAAGCTCATGCTAGTGCTTCATCAGAAGTCCCCCTGCACGTGTTGAGCAATACAGAAGAGAGGCTGAATCTTGCCTTTCAAATCCCTATGTGGTGCTGATATCCCTGGTTGACTGCTATCATCAAACATTTTCCCCGATTCAGCTGCTGGTCAGTTTCAGCAGCAGCTGAAAGGGGGGCGCCTGTCCGGCTGCCCCAGCACTTCCGGGTTCCTGATGGTGCCGGACCATCAGGAGTCCCAGAGCATTGGATGCCGGACTAATGGAGTTTTACTGTACATTGATTCGTTTCTCAGACATGGGGTCATTCTGGATGAAAATGCAACTTGCTCCCTCAACAGCACTGAATGCTACTGTGAAGTATATGAAACAAGAATGGGACCCTCATTTCCACTCCAGAACCTTTACCCTGGTTAGGAGAAAGGAATGGTATAAAGTGTCCATAAGAGCCCCCAGTGCAACCAGGAAAATTGTAAGACTGCCTACTACAGACAGCAGGCACACAAAGTGCATTGGGGATGGGACCACACGATGCAACGCTGCAAAGGTTCTCAGTGCTGTGGTCCATAGGGAAGACCTAGGAGGATGCTAACTTAGAATGCCCTGTATGGCTGATTAAATGATTGAGACACCTTTCCAGTCTCTAAGCTGGCCAGGATCAGGAGGAAGCAAAGGTGGCAGAAAGCGATCATCGTCCCCCGACCACCCACTGGGCTGCAAGTTCTATGCTGCAGCAGTTAAGAGAGACAGAACAAAATTTCACCAAAAGGATAAGAAAGAAATAACAGGGCAGAAGTGAGAAATAGGAAGTTACCTTAATTACAGACAGCAATATCTACACCGCTAAAGTAATAAAACTGAAGTTGATATTCCCTCCAGCAAATGTTACTCTTACCTGGTAGTTATGGACTTCAGGATTATTTTTTGCACTAAAATAAGACAAAGAAAAATAGCTTTTCTGTAATTAAAACTGACAAAAATAAGAAAATGGATCATTTCCTTGAATTAGTTTACTATGTGATGAAAAAGATTGAGAACTTGATCCTTCAACTGGCCACAGAAGGAAAAGCTCTATGCCTGTGTGGAGTCCCTCCAGGTCTAATGAGGCTACAGAGAAGCACATCCATCCATCCATCCTTATGCAGCCAGTTGCAGGATCGAGGCCCAAACTTTTTGGAAATACTGGAAATGTGCTGGTAACAGCACAGTTCCACCCCACAAACCTTCCAGATCCTGCATTATCAAAGTACACAGTTTGAAATGAGGAGTAATGGAACTATCAATGTATAAGCAAGAACTAAGACTTAAATAATAATAATATGAAAATGTCAAATATTACAGAGTACCAAAAAAGTTTGTAGAAAGTGTTACTTTTCTAAACTATATTTCTTCAAGCTTGTAAGAGTGTTTGTACTCATTTGTGGCTAAAATCATGGCAAGTTTTAATTTAAAAAAAATGTATAAGACATTTTAAATTTAATTAAGTGCCAAAAAAGTATGAAACATTTCTAATTGGAGAAAACCAACATTTTCCTTTACATTTCTAAAATTAATTCAATCATGTTTGTCTTACTAAACCTTAAAATCCCCACCCATTCTTCAGCTAACAAAATAAGAAATGGCATCTAAAAGCATTCTTTTTCAAAAATGAAAAACACCTGCAATTAGGGATTCATTACACAAGTATCTTCATCACCATAACTCTACTGCTGCTAGTGTGACCTTTCATTAAAAAGAAAGATAAACACAACTGCACAGCACTAGTTAAGAGCTAGAAAAATTAGTGTGCTCCTTTGTACTCCATGTATTCCTACTGTCACATGTTTGTGAAGTGACACTGAGTAGGTTACCACATGAAAAATATTAATTTAACAACACCTATAATTCAGTTTAAGATGGCATCATGTTCTATATTTTAGTGAGATGTAACACAATGTATGTCCGATGTTACAAATTCAATTAAAAAACATTAATTGCTTGCTCAACAAAGGTCTGTTTGTACCACAGTCTACATTAAAGGGAAAAAGAAAAGAAGATTTTTACTTACAAAGCAATTAACCAATACTAAGTGCTCAACATAATGACAACAGAGATAAGAAAGGAAATAAAATTCAATTTTGCACTTCCTTTCAAAAGGACAGAAATCCACTTAGAACAAAAAAGCAAACAATGTTTCATGCTTAGTCCCTGATCTTACACTGGGGTCAGCTGCCATGGGTGCAGAATTCTCTGCTAGCCAGTTCTGATGTGGGGACAGGGCCTCAGAACTCACTACCATTCTGTAATGATGTACTCACAATGAGAATCTAGATAAACTTACCATAGCTGTGCTGCCTTCACAGGATTGTTTGCTTAAAAGAAAGAAAACAATTAATCAACATTTACCTTTGAAAGAGAACTTAACAGTACCATAACCGTGGTTCTTTGAGATACTCTTCAAATATGTTAAAGACGGTGATAAATTGGATGATGATTAAGTGTTCCTCATGTCCCCTGAAGGTTGGCCAAAAAGTAATGGGCTTAATCTGAAGGGAGGGAGATTTAGTAGGAAAAATTTTCTAGCTCTTCAGACAGTTAAGTTCTAGAACAGGCTTCAGAGAGAGGTTGTGAAATCTCCATGATTGGAGGTTTTTAAGAACAGGTTGGACAAACACCTGTCAGTGATGGTCTAAGTTTACTTGGTCCTGCCTTAGCACAAGGTGCAGGACCTGAAGATAGCTCAAGGTTCCTTCCAGTCCTATACGTCTGTTATTCTATTCAATCCTATGACTCTCTGTTCCAGGATGTTCCTACGTACATTTTTTGTTCCAAGACCTGGCATCTACCGGTAGCTCAAGAGGGCATCCATTCTATCCTGTCCTGAAGCACCATAAGTGTAACTGTTAGGGATAGGGCAGAGTGAGATTGATCTCTTTTTATATATTCATTGGGTATAGCCAACCAAGAGAACTCTTGTAGGTCTTGTGGAGACACTATGGCTTGGAGCAATGTGGCTCTCAGCTAAATGCCAAAGATACATACCCCTTCACCAGAGGGCAACTGATGAGAGGATTTTAGGTAGCGATATGGGCTGCTGGTGTTGCTCTAACACTGAATCCTGTTTCTTCTGATACTCTGATATAGGTAAGACCAGGAATGCTGAAGGGAGGAGCGACCTCTTCCTTGAGCACAACTGCGTCTGGCTTCTCGATGCCCAAGATGACGGACCCCACTAATCCATGATAGTAAGAATACTATTGGCTCCTTGGTATTTTACATTTCCTGTGCCATTCCTGAGCGGACATCAGCACAGTTTAAGGAAACGATGGGGTCAGTAACCCCCTAGATGCGCACATGGAGAAGTACCTCTACACATGGTTCTCCCCATTTCCATGAAGAAAGGGAAAGGGGAGATTGTGGCAAAAGTGTTGCTAACCCCCAAGCATTCCAAAAATCACACTTTAGTCACACAAAGAGAATTGCCCATGGTGGCCCAGAGAATGAGGCTGAGGAGAAGAAAAGACACAAGGAACAGTGAGGATGCAGGAGAGATAAAGGATAACAGAAAAGAATTGGGAAAAGTTGCTACCTTTGGTTTTTCAGATGGTGACTCATTCGGTTGTGCTCACTACATTGAGCTATAATTTTGTTTGATTGTACAGGATGAACCTCCCAAATCTGGGACTCTCTGGTCTGGCAATATCCATGGTCTGTCAGGGCCATGGATGTTGCTGGACCAAAGAGACCGAGAGGTGGAGAGTGGAAGCCAGTCAGGAGAACCCCTGGCATCAGCAGGACCAGGTGGCAAATGGGGAGCTCCACCCCAGCCAGGGAAGCCCTGGTGTCAGATGGCCCAGGCGGCAAATGAGGGGTCCCTGCCTCACCTGGGGAACCCCTTGCAGCAGCAGGGCCAGGAGTGGGGCCAGGCAGGAGAACTGGCCCCAGTAATGGGGCCAGTGGTGACCGGGCAGCCCCAGCCAGGGAACTCTGGGAAACCCCCAGTGGCAATGGGATGGGCAGCCCCAGCTGGGTTAAAAGGGCAAGGTGGGGCCAGGAAACTCCTGGTGTCAAAAGGGCCAACTCCTAGAATCCCCAGCCGCAGTGGAGCTGGAGTTGCCGGGCGGCCCTGGCCAGAGAATCCCCGGTGGCAGCAGGGTGGCAGCTTCCAAGCCGGGCTGGTGGTGTCTGGATGGCCCCAGCATGGGAACTCAGGGAACCCCCCAGGAGCAGCGAGTGGGAGCCCCAGCCTGGGAGACTGGGAGTGGGACAGCCAGGAGGGGAGCACTGACCTCCCCTGGTCAGGCAAATTCCCTGGTATGGGAGTGCTCAGATCCCGAGGGTTCAGAGCAGGGAGGTTCAACCTGTAACATGGTCACCTATACATGAGCAGAAATACTGAAATATGCATGTGTGCTCATTAACAGCCAGCCTTACAACTAGTTTAGTGACTGTGCAGAATTCAAGCAGATCGAATAAAAGCCCCACCTTTAAAAGTTGAATGCCTCCGTGATGGGTATCGTTTGCTGGGTTTTCTTTCAAATGTACTGGTTCTGCGTAACCTGGACCCATGTGTTGCTTGATACTCTGTTCGACCACTAAAAAAAAATTTTTTTTTTTTAGTTAGAGTAATTTAATTCCAGCCATGCTTTTGAGCTTATCAAACATGCTTACAGAAACCCAACAACTTTGCAAAGAGAGAAAGAGAGAGAATACTCAGAATGAACTGGATAATTCTATTATTTTTGTGCTGTGTCTTCCTGTGCCCTCAAACAAATGCAAATGCACACTTGTTATTTCATTAAATACCTGAATCTGAAGCGTGATCCAAGCCTTATGAAGTCGGATCGGCTAGATTTACTGTTTGCTGGTGCTCGCAGCCTGAAGAATGCGTGGTGTTCCACTGCACATTTCCACAAATGTTTGCAAGTTTTGGCATTGTCTAACCGGAAAACAAAGGTGTGCTCTTGCTCTCTGCCCTAAATGCAGAAACAAAAACTTTGGACGTTGGCAAGCACA